AGTCTTCTAAGTGCTTTGTATGTATTAATTTAGTATTAGAACAATTTGATAGTTACTAGTATAAGTTTAGTTTACAGAAATCAACTAAAACAATGATTAAGCATTTTTCTCAAACTGAAAACCTAGATTAAAATCCAGTAGTGTGTTTTGTAAGCTCACAATACTTGTAAACTTGTCGTATTTAAATTAAAATAGTCCATTAAAATATACACACCAGATATTATGTTATGGATATGATTTATTATTTTAACTTAATTTTATGTACACTTGAGTAATGTCACAGTTCTTTGGTTGTGATGCAAATAATTCTAGAAAAACATCAATTGGGTCACTTAATCTTTTATGCTGGCATCTTAGACAATAACATGAATTTCCCGGCTTATTAGTGGACCAAAGATATATGGACTTTAACTTTCATAATAATTTGTGCTAGTTTAGTGTCTGGAAAGACTAATTTAATATCCCCCATCACTGGTTCTGTTGCTTTGTGTTGTACACAAATCACATGAACAAAACTGTGACCTTTATGAAAGTAACAGCAAAGCAGCACATCTGCCTGCAACAGTGCATAGCAATGTCTATCGCAAGACAAATCTCAGCATTGGTACTGAGGTCGGCCATCTTCCTGGAATGACTTACTTAGTAGAGGTCTGGGATGCTGTGAAAATTATACAATGGGTCTGTAAAGATAAAACAGTGGGGGAGGTGCTCACCTACGTTTATATCCACACACATTGTGCACCAGTTCCTAGGCAGATGTGGGACGAAGGATGACAGGTGAGTGAAGAAACCACTCTGGGAGAGACCTGATGGCCATTCACTTTCTTGCCAAATACACATGTTTTATAGCTGGTATCCGCTTAAGAGGATGGTCCAATCACATAAAGTTTAACATTACTGACCTATCACCTTTCCAAGTCTGGTTTGTCCTGGCCCAATCCCTTTTAGGGCTAGATGCTGCAGTTAAATGACAATTCTTTGAGGGGAGGGGGTTGTTGAGTGAGACTCAAGGCCACACCTGGTGCTTGTCAAATGCGCTCAGGCACTCCCTACTGGGTCACTATGCTGGGACAGGTCTTATCTGCTATGCAGGGACAGATCTTACCTGTTCTAGTGGCTTTTGCCATGCTCTACATCCACATATTGTCCTCTGAACACCACCAGGAATTATCTCTAAGAACAGATCCAGGAGCAAGAACAGAGCACCCTGTAAGGTGTCACTCCTTCCTCCCTCTTCCCCCCAAAAAGGTCTACAGTGAACAGGATAGCCCCCATCAAAACAAAGAATGATCCAGTCTCAAACCATATCAACTTGAGAAGCCCTAGGTCAGTGGTTGGGATGTCAGTAGGGAGACTGGAGACACCTGGAAAAGTGGGACAGCAGGTACAGTCCAGGGGCCTGGGCCAGGGTGTTTTGATGTGGGGAAGGGCTGGCATGGTGGCGTCAGGACCTACCTCTAGGGAGAGGAAGCTGCCTCTTTGGCAAGAAGGGCTAGAGATTAAAAGGGGAGATGACCTGCACAGAACAGTTCATAAGTCGCATCAGACCTAGCAACTGGGTCCCTTGAGCCAGAAGAGAGTGGAGGAATATACTACAAAAACTCCAAAAATGGGCAACCAAGAATACTCCATCCAGGTAGATTATTATTATCCACGTTTGAAAGAACAATTTAAAGCACCATGAACAGGCAACAGCTGAGGGAATTCATAGTCTTGAAACCAGTTTTGCAAGAAGCACTAACCAGCTTCTTTTTTAAAAAGCAAACAAGGTAAATTTCTGAGCATGTGCATTGAGTGTGGCATTCACTCATGGTGCCTCTGGTGGTCCTCTATTAATAAAGGTCTGTTTACTCCTAATTTGCAAAGGAGTTTTGTACATTTTCAATAGTGAATCAATTTGTATTGAATGTTCTATCTGATGAAGTGATTTTCTTATTCTTAGAACTTTTTATTGCAATCTTTTACTTATTAAAACAGACACCAGTAGTATAAAATATAAAAAATTCTAATATAAAGTCAATATTGGCTTTCTTTGGATTAAACACACTTTTAAAAAACTTTTTTACATGACTATTATATGCCCCCTTGATTATTTAATTCTCTACCTGCCAATTAAATTTAACATTTGTGTGATTTAATTGTGTAATTTAAAATTTTAAATGTAGTAATACAGAACTAACAATAACAAAATAAGATTTTTGTTGTGGATTCCTCTGAAAAAGAATGATGTAGCTTCTAAAAAGTTTTTATTTTAAAATCTTATCAGTGATTTGCAATTTTGTGGAATTTTAGAATATTGTTTTAATCATCTCTATGGGTGTATTTGTGGAGATACTGCTTAAAAAATAAATAGAGATTTACCTACTATGTGAGATAAAACAGAATAGTGTCAGACCTTTTTCTAAATTCAAAAAAGTCTAATCAAAATGGATTGAAGATCTTGATATCAGACCTGAAAATGTAAGTAGATTTCTTCTTAAAAATTAAGCTAAAGGCATCTTAATGATGAAATACCACTGGCAATGCAAGTCGAAGCATAGATAAACAAATAGGATGACTACTAAATTAAGAAGCTTCTGCCCTTCATAGGAACTAATGACCAGAGTATGAAGACAGCAATGGGAGAAATTATTTACCTAGCACTCATCTGATAAGAGATTACAATATATAAGGCGCTGGTTTAAGAAAAAACCGAACCCTATCATAAAATGAAGAGAAGAGATGAGAAAAAACTCACTCAAAGAAGAAATACAAATGGCCAAAAGGCACATGATAAAAAACACTTTACCTCACTTATAATCACAGAGATACAAATCAAAACAACTCAACCGGGAGATACTATCTCACACCACAGACACTGACACACTTCAAAAAGAACAAGAGCAACCGGTTCTAGTGCAGATGGAAGGAGAAAGGACTCTTCTTGGAGGGAATGCTTACTGCTCCAGACTTCCTTGAAAAAAATATGGACATTCTTAAAAAAAAGAAATTAGGTCTAGGAACTGAGTTTTCTTTTGACTCAGAAACCCCGCTTCTTGGGAAAAAAAGACACCTGCATCTCACTATGATCTTTAGAACACCATCCACAATAGCCCAAGCCTGGAAACAGCCCAGGGGCTCCAATTATAAATGACTGAATAGAGAAACTCTGATAGACATACACAATGGAATACTACTGGGTTGTAAGAAAAGACAAAGTCATGAAATTTGCTGCCACATGGAGAGACCTGGAAAGTACCATGCTGAGAGAAGTTAGAGGGAGAAAGACCAACACAGAATTATCTCTCTCATATGCAGGACACACAGAAGCACAATGATAGAATAACGAATACCCAAAGACAATAGAAACCGAAAACATGAGAGCTTGTATTCAGTGGAATACATGCCACTGAGGGAACTGGGGAATAGGACAGGGGTGAGCAACATCTATGGTGGAGGGGAGCATTAACCTGGGAGGAAGAGGTGTACTTAAAGGTGGTAAAGTGTTGTGTATGAGACCCTATGGGCAACAATACTGTAAAAATGTGTTAGAACAAAGGACAATAGGAAGCAAATGTGGGGGGTAGGGACCATTGGAGGAAGGAAGTGGTCACTGGTGAAGGGATCAATGTTGAAACGTTGTATGCTTGAAACCCAATCATGAATAATTTTTTTAATCCCATGGTTACTAAATTTTTGATTAAAAAAATTAAATGTAGGAAAAAACAGGATGTTATAATAAGAAAACAATATATTGTCGAAGTCATCAGAAGTGAAGATTTTATGTGTAGAACTGAATTTACAGGGTGTGGGAAAGGGATCATTGAGACAGTAGTGATGGGTATGGTGATGGAATGATGTCTGCATGAAAAGTGTGATGAACAATGTTGTAAATTCCATTGAATACTGAAAATTCCTCAATAAAATGGTTTTGAAAAAATAGATCATTGGAATATTCTCATGAATTTAATTTATAGTTTGTGACTTCCCCTAAATTGTCTTTTTCATAATTAATTGCCAAGATTTATAAATTAAACCATATGCAACTTTCATTCAGAAATGCAATATTTTCCAGATCTCTATTGTTCTGGTTTAAAAATTAATAGGGTTTTTTTTGAGGTTTATTTGTCATTCAAAAATCTTTTTAGCTCGATCTTTCTATTGCTTCATGGTTTCTGTATTTCTGAGTTCACTTAAGAAAACATTCCCAGCTCAATCTAATATAAAACTATGCCTGTGTTTAATTATAATTATTTTATTCTACCTCCTATTTAATTTATATGGATTCAGTGAATGTTTGTATATCATTACAAGCATTACAGGTGTACAACATAATGATTATATATTTATGTATATTGCAAATGATCACCCCAATAAATCTAGCTAATATCCATCCCCATGTAAATTTGCAAATTGTGTGTTTAGTGAGAAACGTCCTCTGTTATTTACTTCCAAATGTGCAATTTGGTCCTATTAATTTGTAGTGTGATTACTGGTTTCCTAAACTGCAGTTCCACTTGAGCCAAGAGGGATATTAGCACTTTGATGCTTTGCATGATGTGGCAACATTATACCCCTAAGACATAAAACATTTGCATCTGATTTTAGGTAATCTCTTAAATGCAATTTGGAAAAGCTCTATGGTTTGTAGATATTTTTAGAAGTAAATTTGGGAAGGATAATAATAAATATATTCACTAGGACCAAACAGGTTAATAGAAAAGCCGTGCATGCATTCATCTTCTTTCCTATTCTGCATCAGCTTCTGCAGTGAAATTATTCTGCATATAAGTTTAGTTGAATGCATAGAGAACACTATTCTATGCTGCATTGTATTGTTAATAAATATTTACTTTATACATTAACTAGAATATCTTTATAAAGATATGTTGTCCTCAAATCGTTTTTAGTCAACAAAATTAAAGTAGACTACAAAATAGAATGTAATTTTAATGTCTTCTGTGTTCCTTAATGGCCATTTGAACATCCATTATTTTCATTCTGGTTATATACACCTGCAGACAATATCGAACAGATTTCTACAGTTCCTGTGTATGTGCAAGTTCTGAACATCAATGATCATGTACCTGAGTTTCCTGCATACTATGAGACATTTGTTTGTGAAAATGCAGATGCTGGTCAGGTAAGTATCTAAATCAACACCAGTTAGACTGACTTATAGTACAGACACTACCATGTGCTATGTGTTCCTCCCATTCAGAAATGATAAAAAATCACTTTCATTTGACAATTCTAATTACATACTTTTATGTCATAAATCAGTTATTCATATTCCTATCTTTAAACTAAACTTAAAATTTTCTACTTTTATATTACTCAAATGTTTTTAAAATATCTGCTAACAGGGGCTGAAGCAACAGCACAGAGGGTAGGGCATTTGCCTTGCACACAGCCAACCCGGGTTCGATTCCCAGCATACACATATGGTCCCTTGAGTACCGCCAGAAGTAATTTCTGAGTGCAGAGACAGGAATAACCCCTGTGCATCGTCGGGTGCGACCTAAAAAGCAAAAAATAAAAATAAAAAATCTGCTAATACTAGGAACTCAATATTAAGTCCTTTATACTTTGTCAACACAACAAAGAAATTTCAGTAGTGTTATACAATTACCTTTTAATTAATTTTTATTGTTTATTCATATATTATATTGATATAGAGAAAACTTTTTAGTAGTTTATAATTACTACATCAGATATGGGAACTTCTAGATATATGAATATTTTTGTGAGCTTACTTATTTTTAATTTTTTTCAAAATTATGTACCCCAAAGCCCTCAAACACAAACCATATCTTTGGGGAAGTATTACTATAGAGATTCCTACTTATCTGTAAAGTCTTATGGTAAATCTTTTAATCATATTTTGTATATGTCACTGTAGTATTTATTATCTTTCATAGAGTTAAGCTAATTTGTCATCATAGATTTTAATAGTGATTGTGTGCAGAAAATATTTTGCATCTACAAAATGATGCTGATTTTAATTGCTTTGAGTATCATAAGGAAAAGTTATCCTTAGTTCCTAGAGGGTTAGCTCAGCGGGTGGGGTGCTTACCTTTCTTGGGACTGGCTGGGTTCAATCTCGGGCACCCCGTGGATTCCCCTAAGCACACCAGGCATAATCCTTAAGAGCAAAGCCATGACTAAGTGCCTAATACTGCAGGGCATGGTCCAAAACAAAACAACAACAAAGAAAAGCTGACCTTAAATTACAAAATTTTACTCACTGAAAAGAGGTGACAAAATGAATCACCAACACACATAAGCATTGAAAAACTAGTTCACATATAGCTATAAACATCATATGCAAATTTTGATTGCAGGCCATTTTTAAAGCTCTTTAAGTGGCATTCTGAAAATAGAGCTCTCGAGAGGAAAACAATAAGGAACTTGTGAAACTATTAATAGTTTCCATTAAATCAATATGCAAAGAACTAAGAAGACAAAGGGACTTTACAGTTGATGATAAGAAGCCCTTGTCAAAAGAAAATATATGGGCAGGAGAGAGGAAAGGCTGGCAGGGCTTTTGCTTTGCAGGTGGTAGACTCAGGTTCGATCCCCGACACCCCATTTGGTCCCCAGAACAAGCACCAGAAGTAATCCCTGGGTACAGAGCCAAGAATAATCCAAGCAAGGCTGGGTGTGCTTCAGTCCCCACATGACCCCCTCACAAAAAAGGAACTGTGTGCACTGGGTCCTGGGGCCAGGTGAGTTCAATCTTCAGGATCCCCATAGATAGGACAAATCAAGATGCACAATAAATATGAGGAAAATAAAATGACACAGCTGTTACTCAAAACCAGTCAAAATATCTTTTAAAAAAAGTATTGAATGACAGTGAGATACACTTACAAGGTTGGGTTTCAGTTATGTAATGTTCCGACACCTGTTCCTTCACCAGTGTACAGTTCCCACCACTAATGTCTCCAGTTTTCCTCTCGAAACTCCACCCCACCCTGTCTCTGTTGCAGGTACATTATTTTTCCCCTCTCTCTCACTATTCTCTTCTCTCCCTTTCTCTCTCTCTCTCTCTCTCTCTCTCCCTCTGTCTCTGTCTGTCTGTCTGTCTGTCTGTCTATCTGTCTGTCTCTCTCTCTCTCTGTCTCCTTTCCTTTTGGCTATTATGATTTTCAGTACAGATACTGAAAGGTTATCATATATGCACAAAATCTCCTTAATGCTGAAACACACAGGATCACATTCTAAAGTTTTACTGAGCAAGGAACATGTGCATTCATACTATTATTTTAATCCATTCTGAAATTTAGTTATATACAATCGTTAAGGGCTGGAGCGATAGCACAGCGGTAGGGCGTTCGCCTTACAAGCGGCCAACATGCCCAACCCGAGTTCGATTTCTCTGCCCCTCTTGGAGAGCCCGGCAAGCTACCGAGAGTATTCGATATGCCAGACACAGTAACAACAAAGTCTCCAATGGAGACGTTACTGGGCCTGCTCGAGCAAATCGACGATCAATGGGAGAGCCTTTACCTTTTTTACAATCGTTAAAAATACATACATCACTGAGTATACATTACCAAAGAGAAGACATATATGAAAAAAATGAGGGTATTGCTTCTAAGTTAATCAATAATTTTAAGCTTTCTTAAAGCACAATTAAAAATATAGGAGCTGGAGCAATAGCAGAGCTGGGTGGGTGTTTCCCTTGCATGTGCCCAACCGGGTTCGATTCCCAGCATGCCATATGGTCCCCTTGTTACCGCCAGAAGTAATTCCTGAATGCAGAGCCAGGAGTAACCTTTGTGCATTGCCAGGAGTGACCCCAAAAATAAAAAAACAAAAAAATGTAAACAGTGAATCAGGGAGGAGCGATGTTCAAAAGATCTCAAATTACGATAGGTAACTCCTACAGGTCTGTTGTACAGAAATAAAATGATCATCAACATGTACTATATACTAAAATGTTGGCTAGGAGCGAGCATAGCTCTTTTCTTACCTGTTTTAGAACAATTAAGTGAACATTTTAAGCATAAACGAAACAGGAAAAAATTTTAATTATAGTACAATGTATGGAGAGCAATATTCTCACAACACTACACCTAGCTAATTGAGTAAGTTTAGATATCTTTGTGAAGATCAGTTTTGTTTTGCTTCCCTTATTTAAAGAGATGAAATTCAAAGACAAATTACAAGGTGTCCTGCTATCTACATTGGTTAGATGACACATTCATTACAGATAATCAAAGTGCCAGCAGAGTTGCTCTCTATTCTAGAAGAATTTAGGCATTTCCTTAATGATCTATGGGGGTAAACAGGATTTTTGTTGTTGCTGTTAATGTAAATGGTCAGGGTGGGGTGGAAAGTAGGGAAGAGAATTTTTAGTGATTTGCAAATGGAATATAATAAATGAACTGACATTAGTGCAATTTGTCTCTCTCTGTTTGTTGGAAATAGTTATCATTTTTCAAATTAATGATTCCCATTATCTTGACTGATGCCAACTATATTTTCCAGACCTAAAGTATATCAGTAATATGATAAAATATATTATTAAATTACTTTGTGCCAGCTTCTGTCTAATGTGAAGAGATTGGCATTGGCATCATTAAAATGTTCTTTCGCCTAGATTTCTTTGATCCCACACTGTGATCCTGGGTGCCTTCGTCCTCTCTGTCTTCTCTTTGTATCTTTTTCACACACATTCCTTTTTTTTCTCATCCATCTTTTTGCCTCAGTGTCCTCATTCAGATCCCTTCCGAATCTTTACAGCAATTATTTGTCTTTTATTTCAAGTCACATATAAAACAAACTAGAGGCAATTTCTCTACAGATGTTCTGTGGTTATATCAATTTTCCTTTGAAACTTTATCTTTTATTTTATGTTCTCCTAGCAAAATTACTCTGACTCACCAAGTGCTTTCTCAATTCATTCTAGCCTTTCTTCCCATGTCCACTCCCTATCAGAAGTTCTGTAGATTTCCTCTCCTAAATATCTCTGTGTATCATCAATTTTACTTGATCTTGATTTGCTACAGCCCAGTTGGAACCTATTATTTCTCCTATAGTGAAGGCTTCATGTAAAAATCAAACATTATTAATTCTCACAGTCAACCTGCAGGACCCACATATTAGTTGTTATGCATCTCTTATGTCTATTAGGTCAACCCCAAGACATGTACACACTTTCCTTGAGAGTCAGTTTTAGTGTCAGAAGAACATGTGTGTCCTTTGGAAGTAGTGAAACCATATTACACTGGTAACAGCAGCATGCCACTCAGCAAATTTGGGGACCAGGAAGCTCTATTTTCCATTGGGGAAAATGTTACAATTGCAAAAATGCTCTCCAATGCAAACAACTTCACCAATTTCCAAACGCTGCTAATCAAGATAACTTCCACCCACAACTGTCAGGCCAGTGCCTCCTTTTATGCCATACCAGGAAGTGTTATTCCCAGCAGGTTTTACCCTGCATCATTGCTTTGCTAAGAAAGTTTTCTCTATGTACCAGAGCCCTCAAAGGCCAACAACCAAACCTGCATTCTGAAACACAAATCTCCTTCAGTGTTGGGATCACAGGTTCATAAGGAAAAATTAAGTGATCATAGCACTGTAGTACTGTCCTCCCGTTGTTCATCAGTTTGCTCAAGCAGCCACCAGTAATGTCTTACGACAAATTGTCAGACTTGTTACTGTTTTTGGCATATCGAATACGTCACAGGGGCTTACCAGGTTTTGCCATGAGGGCAAAATACTTTCGGTAGTTTGCGGGGCTCTCCGAGAGGGGCAGAGGGATGGAACGTGGATCCTCGGGTAGGCCATGTGCAAGGCAAACACCCTACCTGCTGTGCTATCGCTCCAGCCTAAGTGATCATAAAGGTAAAGGTAAAGGCCCTCCCGTTGATCGTCGATTTGCTCAAGCGGGCCCAGTAACGTCTCCATTGGAGACTTTGTTGTTACTGTGTCTGGCATATCGAATACTCTTGGTAGCTTTCCGGGCTCTCCGAGAGGGGCGGAGGAATCGAACTCGGGTCGGCCATGTTGGCCGCTTGTAAGGCGAACACCCTACTGCTGTGCTATCGCTCCAGCCCAAGTGATCATATTTTTCTTAATTAAGATCTTGTAGGGGACTGAGCAATAGTACAGTAAGTAGGATATTTGGTT